ACAGGCCTCCAACTAGACCCTGTGCAACTGATTATGACCCTCTGGGATCTGCCATTCAGCAAATCCTCAATACACCTCATTGTCCACTTGTCCAGTCCACACGTTCTGAGCTTGCTTATCAGGATATCATGGGAGATAGCGTCAAAAACCTTGCTCTAAGTCCAGGTAGATAACATCTACTGCTCTTCCCTCATCCACCCAGGTACTTGCCAATCATAGGTTCATTAAGCATGATTTCCCTTTGGTGAATCCATGCTGACTACTGCTCATCACCTTCTTGTCTACCACTTGCATAGAGATGGCCTCCAGGATGAGATGTTTCATCATGTTTCCAGGGACCAAGACAAGGCTGACTGGCCTGCAGCTCTCTCGGTCCTCCTTCTTGCCCTGTTTGAAGACTGGGGTGACACTTGCTTCCATCCAGTATTCTGGCACCTCTCCTGACTGCCACGACCTTTCAAAGATCTGAGAGTGGCCTCAAAATCATGTCCGCCAGTTCCCTCAGCACTCATGGGTATATCCCATCAGAGCCCATGGACTTGTGGATGGCAAGTTCGCGTCTTTATGATTTTCCTGGACACATGAAAAAAGCATTTTTGTTCTGTTTTGTTATTTATAGAGAAACATGAGCATATTGGAATATTCTACCTTAAACCCTTTTTCACTTGCCACCAAAGCTAAAGCAGCTAGACTTCTAGGAATTCGTTGAGACACTGAAAAATACTCTTTTCTGCCATTTCTGCTGAAGTGGCTGGAACCTCTGACAGACAGTTGGTGGCAAAGAGAGAAATAGCATCACTAACTGTTACAGCAGGGATTTCAAGGTGGTAATGGTGAGGTTGCTATAAACATCTGCAACTCCCTAATGGCAATGACCTTCTTTTGGTATAGGTGTCTCTGCAAGAGTTTCAGTTACATCAGTTTCTAAACCAACTTAATTATATTGCTATCATTCCTCACATAAACAAGCTTTAGTTCCACAACAACGTATCTATGTAGTCAAAGTGGTATCTTTTCTCATCGTGGTACTTTCTCTAGTTTGAAAATTTTATGTGCCATTTTACTCTTCTTGGTAGCATCCAAAACATTAATTCAAGTTCAGGGCCTGCATCTTTTTTTCCCTTTGCTAAGCTAGATAAATTAATAGGGGGAAAACCAATTTATCTGTTAGCGTGGGATTATTCATCACATTTAAATATACATATACACGAAGCTTCAGCTACTCAAGTCTCATAGGGAAGCCTTATTGACCCTACCAATTAAGACTTTCATGTCAGTTGACCATGCGACCCTTGGAAAAAAACCATACGCGTTCCCATTCCCTCAGTACAGGTTACAACGAGATTAAATGGTACTGCATCAAAATGCAAAAAGCCTTCAGACTGACATCAGCAACATCCATGTTCATGTTCTCCCAAAATTAAATTGGATGCTGCAACCTTCCCAAAGATAAACATAATAATTAACTAAATATATGCGTTTTTATCCCAAAGTCAAGTGAACATTTTTTCTTTTGCCTGGAAGATTTACTTAGTTTCTTTTTTCTCCTCTGTATGCTTTCTACCAAAAAGAATGGCTTGACCTGGTTTAGAATGGTTTGAGTGCTGCTGAGTCCAACAAGCAGTTGAGCTGTCTTGAAAGGAAGCTTCCCCTCCATTATTTAATGTTTGTTTTCTCTTCTGCAGGCAGAAAAGGCAAACAGTCCTCAGATTTACTCTGGGGAATAGAGGAGGAAAAACAAACCACAAACTCAAATGACTGCCTAATGAGAGTTTCAGTAAGGTATTAAGGGGAAGAAAAAAAAAAAGATTAAAAAAAGGACCTCTTTACCACTTTCATTTTCATTAGCATAATTTTCCAAGAATGTTAACTACATTCTTTTATCTCTTAGACACTGGTTTGCGACTCATAGCTTAAGACAAAGCTAAAAGCAAAGCTATAAATCACACGTGCATCAAAAGATTTACATAATGACATAGACTATTTTGTATACACAGATTTGAATGTTTCAGTTTCTTTGATTTTGTTCCCAAGTAAATACTTTTCACAGACAAGGCTGAACTGAAAATGTAGTCTTTTAAATTTTTTATTTTATTGACACTTAGTGCTGTCCAGTTAGCTCTGATTCTTACACACTTGTCTTTCCGCATTTCGGTAGTTGACTTTACATAATAAGTAAGATAAAGCGAACGACTAAGTTGGAAAACTACAGAAACAGCAGTAATTAGGACTGTATTGCCAGTATTGTAACTTGGTGATTACTGCTCCTATTCGAACCATGAAAAGTGCTCCAACCTAAACACCACGTAAACAATAGCTGTCACTTAAAAGACCACAAGGTGTATTTGGTGCTCCCAGCACTGCTTCAGGTTCTTAATTAATCCACCTGGCCACAGCAGAGAATCTTCACGTTAAACTCGGTCACCTAAGCATCTGTAGTAGCTACTGATTTTAATACTGAAGTTCCTACGAACATTTTTACTCCGTAGTAAAAAGTAAAATTTACAGTAAGAGATACACTAGCTTCAGAAGGGCAAATACCTCCCATATGATAAGATCTTAAAAAAAAATATAACTACACGTACGGTGGTCTGGCTGTATTTTTTTTTGTCTCTAAAACTGGTATTCAACAAAAAACCCCTTTAAACTGGTGGGCCCAGTACTTTAATGAAGTACTCAATCGCCTGTTACACGAACAGCTAGCTTGTGCAAACAACGTGAGAGCTCTGCAGCCCTGCAAACCAGGTAAACGATGTACACCACAAAAAAACCAACAACAAAGAAACCCCCACCAAACCCCTAACCAACAAACAAAAAAACCCCAAAACCCCAAAAAACCAAAACCCAACAACAACAACAACAAAACCCCCCCCCCCCCCCCCCCCCCCCAAAAAAAAACCAAACCCACGACCACCACCATCAAAAACAATACAAAAAACCCACACAGAAGGCACCAGCACGCGGAGCTGGAAAGTGTACTTCTGTATCAGCTGTAAAAAGCTGCGCGGACGAAAGCAAGCAAGACGGAACAAACATAACTGCACTATAACGAGAGATCTCTCCTCTCGCTCGGCTTTACGGTCTCCGCCGACACTCAAGCAGCTGCCCCGGGAGGGTCTGCGGGCAGCCCCGGCGCTGCCGCTGGAGCCGCCGCCCGCATGAGAGACCGGTTCAGCTAGAATGCTCTCGGCATTCCTTCTCTTGTCCACGACAGCACCCTTTGAGAGAGAGGACGGCGGGCGTCCAAATTTTTGCTCCCGACTTTTTTTTTTTTTTTTTAAAGGCAGGGAGACACTCGCCCTGCACACATACACACACACAGAGCCCAACAGCCAGGAACTGCAGACCTCAAGCCCGTCAGCCTGGACCCCTGCCCCTCCTTCAGCGGGGCAGGGGCACGGCGCAGTTCCGGCACCTTCTCCACCTCTTCCCCAAACTACTCCCGCGAGTGCCGCCGGCGCCCTGCCGCCGCCTCCGCACGGCAGGCGCTGCTGCCCCTCTCTCCCCCCAGCAGATACGAGCTGGGGCGCGACGGAGACACTCGGGGCACAGCGCCGCACGGCGCGGTACAACCTCCTCCCCCTGTCCCCGCACCGCGGAGCCGAGCGGAGCACACACCCCCGCCGGCCGCCCGGCTGAGCGACAGTCGCCGCGACCAATAGAACAGCCCTTTCCGCGCAGGGGGGCGGACACCCCCTGGCCGGCGGACCAATGGGAGCGCCGCTTCCTGAGCAGTGGCGTCCACGAAGGGGGGCCGAAGGAGGGGCAGGAGTTTAGGAAGAGGAGGGAATGGCTGTCACCAGTGAAGTCATGTTGGTAATCTAGTCCCTCGCTCCGGTTCCGGGCTCGGTGACTCACCGAGGGGGGAGAGGAGCGATACCCAGCACGGCGCTCCGCCCGGGCGGAAGGTAAATACAACTTACAACTCGGTCCGCCCCCCGTCCGCTCCCCGTGGCCGGCACGGTCTTTCATTGTCGGCGGCCGCGCCGGCTCGCACCGTGCCCACCTTCGCTGTCTCCGTCTCTGCCCTTCCCCGCGCACGGCCCCGCCGGTCCCGGCCGCCGCCGTGCCACCTGCTTCCTCTCCCCACCTTCCCCGGCGCCCGGCCCTCCCGAATATTTATATGTCCCAGTGGGTGGAGAGAAGAAAGTTTTGATCCGGTATTATTTTGGAATAATCATGATGCGGATCTCCGGGGCGGGAGCGACAGAACCCCCGCGGCGTCGCCAGTGGCTGACTCGTGAGTCAGCGGCACTCTCGGTCTTGCCGCCCAGCGAGCGTGTCACGGGCTGCGGGCGACGCGGGCACGGCAGAAACAGATCCGTGGGGAGAGACAGCCCACACGGACGGGCCGTGGGGGCCCCGCCGCGCCTGCCGGCGGTCGCAGGGTGAAGTTCACGGTGTCCGGAGGCGGCAGAGCGCGGCGCGGCGGGGCTTTTTCTCCGCCGTGGTACACGCTGGCGCAGACCCAGCCGAGGAAGGGGAAGTAGGGAGAGGCACGAGCAGGGAGGAAGATGGTGCGCGAGAGAGCGGTCTCGCCTGCGAGGAGAGGAGCGGCGTTCCCCGGCAGAGCCAGGGAGGCCATGATCCGGATCATCTCCCTGCCTTTCTGTCACAAGCACTGCACACAGCGGGGAGGGGGGAGCAGCGGGGGCTGGGACTTCGGCCGGCCGACTGCGGCTCCTGTTGCTTTTAGGTCTCCTGTTTTTAACTGTGCAGTCACTCCTGCTGTAAAGGTGTCGCGGTTCACTTCCCAAAATAGCGTGTGTGTCGTCGTAGCCCTCCCGTTTTTTTCCTGCAGAAATCCCGCCCTCCTCCCCCCCCCCCCCCCCCCCCCCAAGCGGAGTAGCACAAAACATGCGCTACAATTTTGGAATCGCCTGCCAAGCAAAAAAGCGTTTTATTTCCGGTGTGCGCGGAAATTTATTTTTTTTAACCGGGCCGGGCGGGAGCGAGGATGCACGCGCGCGGATGCTCAGGTATCCGCAGATTGGCTGCACCTATGTCGGGAGAGGGGACGGCGGTGGTTGGCACCTGGAAAAGTTCTGTGCCCTGCCGGAGGCGGGGGCGGGCGGCGGGGCGCTGCTGCAGACACTGCCGGGCGGGGCCAGTGGGCAGCGGAGCCGGTCCAAGGGCCGCTGCGGGGCAGAGGGGGGAGGCGGCAGCGGGGGCGGGGGGTGGCCTTTCCCGTCCCTCCGCCTGTGCGAGCGGCGGCGGATCAGGAAGTCACCACCGCCACAGACAGGCGCACAGACATGTTTGGTCGGCGTGACATGGTGGCGGAGGGAAGGACAGGCGGGCAGGCGGGCCTGGCCCAGCCCTGAGGCATGACCCGGCTGCCCGCCCGCCTGCCGCCTCAGAGGTACGGGGGCCGTGCTCGGGCACCGCAGCCGCTGCTTCGGGGATGGGCGGGAGAAGGCGGCAGCGGGGCTGCGTCTCCAGGCAGGGGCGTTTAACAGCCTGTCGACCGGGGAGAAAACTTTCCAGAAAGGCCGGGGGGGAAAACAGGGCCCTTCTGGTTGTGCGCGCCCGCCCCGGCGCCTCTGCGGGGGAGGCGGCGCGTTGCCCGGCGCCGAGGCCTGCGCGCCGCCCGCCCTGCAGGGCCGGACCCCCCGGGCACAGCCGTGCGGCCGCGCACGGAGGGAGCGGCCGCCCTCGCCCCGCCGCCCCCCGGGGCTCCCGGGTCGTGGGTCCTTTGCCGTTGTGCCCGCGGTGCGCGGAGAAATGGAGTTTCTTATGTTGTCTCCTCCCCCCGCCTCCCTTTAAATTTATCATGGTGGAACAACAAACTGCGCACGGCTGGAAAAGTTACAGCTCTTCTAAACTCCATCTGAAGTTACAGTTAACCGATTGGTTTGGTTTTCTTAACCCCCCCCCCCCCCCCAAGCGTGAGTTGTGGTCAAGTAAAGGGAGTGGCTAACTGTCTGCATGACTACACAGATCACCCAGAATTTTTTTCTTGGCATCTGCTGTTTATGTTTGATATTCAGACTTAGAAAATTTTATGTTAACGCTGCTCTTTTTAGGATGTATTTTTATGAATATTTAAATATGAGTATGTAAGTAAGTAACTAATTGAAGAATTGAAGAGATAAGGTGGTTGATGATTTTTCGTTTGTTTGGATTTTTTTACCGTTTAAGTATTCTGCGTGCTTTCAGTAAGAAAAATTGATCTGGGGTCTGTGGCACAGTGTTGTTCCGTTTGCATTCTTTTCCTTTTTGCTTTAGCTTTCTAACGGGTTACTTGGTTTTAACCAAAGCCCTTACGGCTCAGACGATAAACTCTCTACCGGAATTTAATTCCTTTGGTAGTATACCAGTTACATGTTCGGGGTGGAGCAGTCTCTTCTGTTTAAGTTACTATTGTTGTGCAAATACAGGCACACTTTCTCTTTGGGAACCTAATTGCTCTATTACTGTCTTTGACTTTGTTTCTTTTGTCCTTTTGTTATTCTAGGGAAAAAAGTTGTGTACCAGAAGGATAGGGTTGCCTTAAGGCGGGTTTTTATGTCCATGTATATCAATAATAGAAAGCAAAAAGACTGTATGGATAATGAGTATTTAAAAATTAAAGAGTATCATACAGAATATGTGGACTTGCTAGAGGTGAGGGTAAAGCTTCATTATATGCAGTCGTTCTCTCATGAGTTATGTCTCAGCTTTAGGACTGGTATTTCTGTGGTGTTTCATAGAACGTGTGCCAGAAGACTCTGTTCAAAGCAGTCTTAGATCTTTTCTTTTATTCATTTCTGAAGTGGTCTGTGAGCTTTTCTTGTCAAATTTGAAAAATGCTTTTGCCAGCATCTGAGGCCTGAAAATTGACAAGAGAAAACGTCCTCCAGCTAGAATACTTACGTTAAATATATTCTTGACAAAGGTCTGTTTGAAATTACTATCTGCAGGTATATTTTCTCAGGTTTTGTTAGACTTTTGAGGTTAAGGTCAGAATGTGCACAGTAGCAACTTAAAAAAGTGTCTCCACTTTTACCTGTTTTTCATAGTCCTAATTAGTAATATCGCTGTGAATTAGTGATCCTTTTCAGAAGCAGACTTTTCATATGACTGAGAATATTTTTGCAAATTACTTGTCAAAATACCTGTTACGTTTCTGTGTGTTTTTGAGCTGCAGTTGAAGTTCTTTATGTGTAAAGAGTGTTTCCTGGAGCTCCCTCACTTTTGAAGTGCATCTGAGTAGTTTTTAGTTTTTTGATCCTCTAGTGGAGTAGGATACACAATAATGTGGCATAAAGATCACCTGCCATAAAATTGACAGCAGAGAAAACTCATGCCTTATTTCCAAGATAAAATAAGGACAGGTGAATAAGGGAAAGAAGTAAGGCTTTCTTAACACAGCTTTGGTAGTTTGTAAATGTAGCAGAATAAGAAGAATAATACTGAAAAGTTTCTTTGTTTCTGACACATGTAAAGTCATTACTTCTCAGCTGTAAAAATTTTCCTGTTTGTCTCCACTTGGGAGAGATTATTTCCTGTTATTTCCTGTGTATCACTTCAGGGTTTGAGCACCCAGATGCATCATTTAGAGGTGAGACCTTTGAGAAAATGTTAAAAATAAGTCTGTTGTTACAGAATTTACACATTTTTCATATTTTCATTGGTATTTTACTGTAACTAACTTGTATTTAAAACAATCTTCTCCCTTCTTTCTCCTCTTCTTCCTTGTTTAAGTAAAGGCAAGGCCTTTCAGGAATACGGTGCATTCCTTTACTTCTGCCTGCCTCTCATTATGGCTTTTGTTTTTTAGAATTAAATGAGAAGACAACATTCAATAACTGTGATTAATACCTATAGTAAAGCTCATGGTATGAAAACTTAAATCTGTGACCACTCAGTGGTGTCATATATCAGTTTTCTGTGCCTGAAAGTGGAATTGACATATGTAGCTTGATCTTGGACATTGCCTGATGGCAGTTAAGAGTTCTCAGTGCAGCTATCTGCTCTGTTTTCCTCAAGGCTACTGTCTTCTGCAGCAAAGCCATCAGAAAGGATCATATGTCTGTGCTGTAGTGTCCGGCAGCATAGCTTAGCTTAACTTGAGTGAACTCTGATTTGTGATTATGCCTTTTGACAGTCTGCAGTACATTCACCTCCCAGCTCTTAGGCAGTCATTTTTTTATGCCAATTTTAGTATTTTGTAAGAGGGTAGGCTGTAAGTTAGAGTAGTTGAGAAAAGTTGAGCTTGGTGAAAAGCTGGAATATCTACACAGCAGAAGTAAGAATTTCTACGAGAATATTTGAAGGTGGGGAGTATTAGACTATCGTCCTAGGGTAAACTCCATGCATGTGAAAAGGGATCTTACAGTACTCCACAATGAAGTTTCTGGTATAAGCACACCACTCATTTTGCTAACTCTGCTGAGGTGCATGCAAGAGTTTTTGGTAGATAGCTAGACAAGCAGCTAAAGCAGTGTGCAGAGGTTTTTTTTTCCTCTGGCCTAAATGTCTGGATAAGTAGTGAAGGTGCAGCATTTCTGATTCTGTGGTTTGTAGTTTTAACTACAAATTCCGTTACAGAAGGTTTTCAAGTTACAGTGAAGTTACTCAGATGAGTATGCAAAGGCAGGATCTCAGCCGTTAGTGTGTTTGGCTTCTCTTATGTGAACTGAATACAAGTTAGTTGAAGATTTCACTCTTCTCTTTACAGTTTTTTTGTTGTTTGATGTAAACCTGTTTATTGATCAGATGACAACAGTTAAAACATGATAAAAGTTAATGAAGAGTGTCCTGTGAGGTTGTACAATACAAACCACAAAGCAATAAAAATTTACTTCTAAGCATGATAAGTTATTTAATGATGATGAGCAGCTGTTGTTACTAATCAGTTCTTTTACTTTGAATGTATTAATTTGATTAGCAGATTAAGCAAGTAATACAAGTTAGTGACAGTATCATTTTATGCTTTCTGTGGTAGTGTAATAAAGATAACTCCTTTAGCCTGTAGCATATCACAGGTACACATATCTTTTCAAAACCACCTGTGAATCATGACCGGTTGGAGGTGTGTGGGAAGAAGTAGACTGTAATTATTTTTCCATGAAGACAAAGTTACGGTCAGCTTTGCAGTATCTCTGTGGCTGTTGTGAGGGTCCATATTTCCTTTTCATCAAAGCTAAGTGGTACAGTTTCCTTACTTTCCACTATGTATCTAAGGTAGGGGATCTGGCCAAAACATTCTGACTGAAGTTCAGTTTAGGCTGACAGGAAAGGCAGAAGTTATATTGGATGGTGAAGGGAACTAGCTAGAAGAATTATAAATTCTTACTGCTCCATCTGTTCTTAGATTCGGTGTGTGCCCTATCAAAGCCGTCTGTAATCTCTGGATCTGTTTGGGTGTACAGCCGGTCTTGAATTCCAAAGTAATGCAAATGGCTTGTTACCTGCTTTGTTTTAGTTTGAGATCTGCTAATGTTGGATATTTTCCTCATGCAAAAAAAATCCATACCTTTGTTACCTTTGTGTTTGTAGCAGGTTTATACTAAAATATATATGTAATAGAAACACTAAATTGATGGAGACCCTGTTGTACATTGAATTAGCTACATATACAAAACTTGCTAGGTGCATATGAAATGATAGTGCAGAAACATTTATGCTTAGGGAATGTTATTTCAGATTCTTTGCAGATATTGACTGTCCTAAACCATTTGATCTAGAAATAGTTGAGCAAAGATCCTAAGTCTCCATCTTCAGCTCTTGGGTTTGTGGCACTTCTTTGTATTTGGATCTGGCTGAAGTTACATTGACAGTTGATAGATGCTTTTTTCCCTTTCCTGTCTCAACTCTAGTTGTGTCCAGAAGAGGTGGAGAAATTCTCTCAGACCATGGGAAGAGCTGTGTGATTCACCACAGCTAATTCAGTTGCCAGTAGTTTCATTTGGGGCTGTTTACAAAAGAGATTTGGTCATGTTGATTTAAATGAAAACTAAGAAGTGACAAAGGCTTACAGTTCAGGAAGAAATACATCCTTTTTGAAATCCTGTGAATAACAGTGCTCTCATGAGGGTTTTGAGAAAATTGTAAGATTGGACACTTGCGAAACAATTAAACAATATGTAATGCATTTGAGAATGAGGGCCAGCAGCCTTGTCCTTTGGAACAATAAGATGGATTGTCTGTTTTTTCTTTATTTTACTGTAGCCTTTTTAATCTGTTGGAAACATTTACTTTTTTTTTTTACCCCTTCTTCCCCCTCACCTTGTAGTTCTAACAGGCACTACTCATTAAAAAGCAGTCCAAACAAATAGGTCAACACTGACTTTGGCAGGGAGTTGGCTTCATACTGCTTTTTTCATTGCTGGCACCAGAATTTAGCCAAACTAATGCCAATGCTATCTGCATGGAGCCTGGCCACTGTTGCACCTATTGTCCTTTTGTAGATTTTTGCTTTGACTTTAATGAGACTTTGGTAAGGGCCTAGAGGAATTAGATACCTAGCTCTTACTGAATTTTAATGAGAGCAGGGTGCCTAATTTCCATGGGGTTTTTTATACAATCTCAGACTTAATAAATGCAAACTAAGCTATTTTTGAAACATGTTAAATCATATTAAAACAGGTACATTCTGGGAGTAGATCCTTAGTTGAGAGGGCCATTTATGATGTGTTCTGGCTTAGTGCAGTGAGTGTTTTTTTAATTTTGCCAGAGAAAATTGCCTTGTCTCTTTATTTCCGTTGCTGTCTTCAGACAGGATTTATTACTTGCAATTAAGTAGTATTTTCCAATGGTTTATGTTCCTCTGATATAGATCTTATAAATTACTTTTTTTTCATGAAGTATGTTCTTTGACATACTGATCTCTGAATACCCGTGTGTTTAAGACAATTCAGAATTATGTGAGATGGGGTGAATTTGTCTTCTCTCAAAGAAAGATGGTGAAGGAACTTGATCTGGTGTAAGTGGTGCAACATTCACCTCTGGTAATTATTGTTTTTTACAGTTTGGGCACTTGCTATTCCTATTAAAAAGAATTTAAAAATTTTCAGATTTACATACAGAACATGTTTACTATGTATGTAAATTGCATTGTAACTAGTGAAGCTGCAACTGGACCCAGTTTTTATGGAAACTAGCAAGTTGATTTTGAAGTAGAGGTGAATAGAGGTGTAGATTTTGATACTCATTTTAATGCATAGATGTAGGTAGATGTTGTTTGTGAACTAATATTTTTGGATACTATGTACTGATAGTTTTGTAATTTATTGTGCTGTGGTTCTGTATACATTTTTCTGGGGGGTGGTGGTGGTGCTAGGTATCTGCCTTGTTAAATGGATTGAATTTGGCTTATAACATGTAGAGCAACTCAGTTGTGAGAGTGTCAGTCTTAGATTTTGCAATGTATTGTGATGATTGATTCATGTAAGAACTATTTGTTGTGTGGAAATGTGTGTTGTCCTTCATACAGTTGAACAGTAAGTCTCTTAGAGGAAGTTATGGCATGGTATTTGCAGTTGTGAACATTTGATAACTTGATTCCTTTTGTGGTAGTGTTGTGGGGTTGTAGGGAACGAATTAGTGACTTTAGTGTTTTGAACTGAGAAGGCACCACAAGGATCATCCTGCACAGAGCAGCCCCAAGAATCACACCATGTGACTGAGAGTGTTGTCCAAGCGCTTCTTGAACTCTGTCAGGCTTGGTGCTGTGACCACTTCCCTGGGGAGCCTGTTCCAGTGCCCAACCACCTTCTGGGTGAAGAACCCTTTTCCTGATATCCAGCATCCAACCTTCTCCGACACGACTTCATGCTATTCCCTTGTGTCTTGTCACTGTTCCCCAGAGAAAAGAAATTGACACCTGCCCCTCCACTTCCTTCATGAGGAAGCTGTGGATTGTAGTAAGGTCTCCCCTCAGTCTCCTCCCGGCTGGACAAGCCAGGTGACCTCAGTTGCTCCTCATACAACTTCTCCTCAAGGCCCTTCACAATCTTCATTGTTCTCCTTTGGACGCTCTGTGATAGCTTTTTGTCTTTCTTATACTGTGTCACCCAACACTGCGCACAGGACTCGGGGCTGCCCCAGTGCAGAGCAGAGCAGGACAATCCCCTCCCTTGACCAGCTGGCAATGCTTTGCCTGATGCCCCCAGGACATGGTTGGCCCTCCTGGCTGCCAGGGCACTGCTGACTCATATTCAACTTGCCATTCATCAGGATCCCCAGGTCCCTTTCCATGGCACTGCTTTCCAGCATCTCATTCCCCAGTCTCTGTGAACATCCAGGGTTTCTGCAGAATCTACCACTAGAAGTTTTTTTGTTAAACTTCACATGGCTGGTGATTGCCCAGTCCTCTAATTTGTGGAGGTCTCTGTAGGGCCTGTCTGCCTTTGAGAGAGTCAGCAGCTCTTCCCAATGTTGTGTCATCTGCAAACTTACTCAGTCCTGCAGCCAAGTCACTGAACATGAGCAGTGTGTGCTTGGAGCCCAGAAAGCCAATCACATCCTGTGCTGCATCAAAAGAAATGTGGCCAGCAGTTTGAGGGAGGTGATTCCCCCCCTCTAATTTGCCCTCTGCCTGGAGTGCTGTGCAGGTCTGGGGTCCTCAGTGCAAGAAAGACATGAGTAGGTCCAGAAAAGGGCCATGAGGTTGAGGAGGGATGGGTGGAGCATCTCTCCTATGCAGCCAGACTGAGAAAGGAGCGGTTGTTCAGCCTTGAGAAAAGGTTTTGGGGACACCATATTGCAGCCTTCCAGTACCTTAAGGTGGCTTATGAAAAGGAGGCAGAGGGACTTTTTATATGGGCAGGTAGTGACAGGACAAGCAGCAATGGTTTTAAACTGAAAGAGGACATGTTTAGATTAGAGCTTAGGAAGACATTCTTTATGGTGAGGGTGGTGAAGCACTGGCACAAGTTGCCCAGAGGAGTTGTGGATCTCCATCTCTAGAAGTGTTAAAGGCCAGGTTGAGCAGGGCTCTGAACATCCTGGTGTAGTGAAAGGTGTGCCTGCCCACGGCAGGGGGGTTGGAACCAGGTGGTTTTGAAGATCCCTTTTAACCTAAACCATTTTGTGATTCTGTGTTGAAGAGTGCTGGGCCTAAGATAGAGCCCTGTGGAACTCCACTAGTGACAAGTCACCATTTACTGCAACTCTTTGTGCCTGACCTGTGAGCCAATTGTTCACCCATCACATGATGTGTTTATCCAGCTGTGTGCTGGATATTTTGTTCAGAAGGATGCTGTGAGACAGTTTCTAAAGCTTTACTCAAATACAAAAAATTGACATCACCTAGTTTCCCTTGTTTAGTCAGGTGGGTGGTCATAAAAGGAAATTAAGTTTGACAAGCAGGAGTTTTCCAGCATAAAGCCGTGCTGGCTCTGACCAGTGACTGCATTATCCTTCAGGTATTTTTCAATACCTCTCAGAATAATCTTCTCTGTAATTTTGCTGGTCACTGAAGTGAGACTGACAGGCCTGTAGGTTCCAGGATCATCCTTCTTGCCTTTCTGAAAAATTAGGATGTCAGCCAACTTCTGGTCAACTGGGACCTCTCCAGATTCTCCAGACTGTTCAAAAGTCATTGAGAGGCACCTTATGATGTCAGCAGCTAACTCTTTGATTAATCTCAGATGTATTCCATCAGGCCCCATGGAGTTATAGGGATCCAGCTGGAGTAGCAGATCCCTCATTAACTTCAGAGTCAGCTGGGAGTTTAGCATTCTCACAGCCTTGGTCCGTCAGCTCAGGGCACTGTGACCCCCCCTTTAGTCCATCATCAGTGTCGAAGGCAAAAAAGCATTACACATCTCTGCCATGTCTCTGTTCCTGTTTGTGAGGTGACCATCCTCATACTGTAACAAGCATCAAATCAAGGAGGGCATCTTTTCTAGTCAGCTCCCTTAGTACCTGAACCACGAAGTAGCATCCAGCTGTTTTAGGAATTCTCTGGACTTGTTTATGCCAAGTGTGTGGTATCTTCAGTTAACATCTGGCAAGTTGAAGTAACCCATAAGGACAAATTTGGAGGTGTCCCTTAGTTCCTTGAAGAATTGGTGTCATTGTCTTGGCTAGGTGTTCTACAGTAGACTCCTACAATGACACCTGCCTTATTTTTTTGTCCTGAAGTCCTAACCCAGGGGCTCTCAACTGTGCCATTGCCGGCTGTAAGCTCCATACATTCTGTCCCCTCCATTACAAACAACACCACCCCCCGCTTCACCTGCCCTGACCTAAGGAGCATGTGACCATTCATCATGGCACACCAGTCACAGGACTCATCCCATCAGGTCTCACTTATGCCGGTGATGTCATATATCTGGGACGGGGCCTACGCTTCCTCTTGCTCATTCCTCATGCTGTGTATGTTGGTATAGAAACATCTCAAGTATGGTTCATTGTAGCCAACACCTCGTGAAGCAGATTGATCTTATTAGCACTCAGTTCCTCAACTTTTGGCTTGCCATCCCATTGCTTATCACTGGCAGACCTGGTTTTGCCCTTTCCCTCCTTCCAACCTAGTTTAAAGCTCTGTCAATGAGCTGTGCTAGCTCTCATGCTAAAGCACTTTTTCCCCCTTTGAAAAAGTTGTATCCCTTCAGGTATCAGAAGACCGGGTGTTGTAAAGACCGTACCAAGATCAAAAAAACCACAAATTCTGCAGATGACGCCAGCTTTGGAGCCACATGCCCCTTGGAGGCAGCAGACTTCCCTGTGGTTTTGGTCTGGTCTGTATAGCAGGCCCTCTGTTCCCCTTAGGAGAGAGTCATCTGTGACAACTACCCTTCTTTTTTTTTCCTAACCGGGACAGTTGTGATGAGGGGGTAGGCTGTCTTACCCCAGGTGGCTCCTCCATTGCAGAAGGACCTTTGTCTGCCTCATGAGTTGACTGTTGTTCCAGTTCCAGGGCCTCATGCCTGTTGTAAAAGGTATCAGTCCTACTTATTTTCAGGAGGAAGAGCCTTCCTTCTGCAGTGAGCAGTAACCTCTTGACTGACTGCATCAGAGGATTCTGAGTCCACCTGCGTCTTCACCTCAGTGGAGGTTTGAAACTCCTGAGACTGTAGCATCTCTGAGAGTTACGTGTCAAGCTCTCGCTGTTTCTCATGAATTCTGTACAGCTTGTTCAGTCTGTCATTTGGCTCCTTAACCTGGTGTGCTGGTTTAAAAGTTAACCAGCAGGGGAAAATGAACTTAACTCA